TTGTGTCATGAATTTATCTCCTCTACCTGAAATTATTTAGCAGACATTGATAGTTTTGTGGTCAGAAGCCAAAAACAAGCGTGCTTCTGTTTTTGCTTTCTCTGATCAATAGCATTGCTTCCTCAAATGCCATTAATACTGCCTGAGTTTAGCAACCTCAGTGATTTAAAATGTTAATGATATCTGACAGACACTTTACACATATTAGCTCTCTTCCTGCCTGATAACGAACCTTCTACAGCCCTAAGCTGGACTAAGAATTATTAGTGTTAAGAATTAAGAATTATTACTGTCTTCCTTCTCTGGAAAAGGTGTCTTATAAATGTGTGTTCCCCTTCTACAGGAAAAAAAAGATTTCTCTTTCTTTTTTTGGTTTGGGGAGGGGGGTTGTTTGTTTGTTTTTTGTTGTTCATTGCCAAGAATGCACTTTGAATTTTAATGGCAAACAATTTTCTAGCTGGAGATTGTGAAAATAGACATTTCTGAATGTTACTCATACGGGTCCCAGTTCAGAAAAACATGTTAGAATATGTGCAGTCCATTTTTTTCCATCAGAAAACAAGATGTTTCATTCAGCATAATGTCTTGTGATCAGCCCTACTGGCCATGTCTGCTGTACTTCTTTGAAGCACACTGTAAGAATTATGTTCCAAGATTATTCAGAAAGTATATTTAAGAAGAATTTTGGAAAGACAACAACAACAATGAAACCACCAACAACAACAACAAACCCCCAACTTGATATGCACTTTCAAACCCCCAAATTATCTTTCAATTCCAGTTACTTCCAGTTACTTAGAATTGTTGGGACAGGGATAAGCAGTTAGCTGACGTTGTTCAAAGGGTCTGTCTATGCAAACTAGGGAGGCTGATAGACATTGGGGTAACAGACCTTGTTTGTTCTGCAGGTCTCTTGCACTGAGATGATGGATGAGAGAAAAACATGACAAGGAGTTTGTGATGTGAAAGCTGAGAACAAACCAAACACATCTCAAACAAAAACCAGCAAAAGCCAATGGAAACAACTTTTATGGTTTTTTTACAAGGGGAATTGTTCTCAAGGTTTTGATGTCTTGGCCCACTGTGTGGACACATATTTTATAATTGCATTACCTGGCTGGACATTTCTTAGTCAGAGTGCTCTCTCCAAATTATTTTCAGTAGCTTTGGCAATGATGTCCTTACCCTGGAATCAGCATGTCCAAACAGACCGAATCTTACAGGAGCACGGAATGCAGAGGTTAAGCTTAGAAAGAGCCTTGTTCATTTACCTGAGAAATTTAATTTTGGTTAACGTATGTTATCATTCAAAAATAAATAGCTATTCACAAATTCTCATTAAAACTGCTTTGAGAGATATCAGTTCTGGTTATTACAGGGGATTACTATTTGACAATTATCAAATATTAAGCCAGATTTTGTATCAACCATGTTTTTCAGTCTAAAAATAATCTCGAATATTACTAGTTCTGTCTCCTTGTGCCAGTTACCAGAGCTTTTACCCAGAAGCAGATGTTCAAGAGTATCCAGACTTGTAACACAAAAATTGTCCTTCAGCATAAAGAATAACTGTTTGGGCAACAGTACTTGGTCAATATGGAAAAGTCCAGAGTGGTAAATACAGCAGGTACTTATAAATAAATAGTGCTGTTGTTTGAACATCAGAGCTGAATTCAGAGTTGGATTCTTGTTCCTTCCTGCTTCCAAGAGCAATGTCAGCAGGCAATATCCCTTGTAGGCAGATCTGTGAGGATAGGAAGTGGAATGGAAAGTCATGGATCTTTATCATTAAGGTTTCCCACAATGCTATAAGGGGTGGGGAGGAGGTGGGAGAGTGAGTGGATTCCTGCTTAAATAAGCAAAGCAAAACAGAAAGAAAAACCATCTTTTTTTTGAATAATTGTCCAGTGTGCATTATGAGATTACTAATTGCTCACGTCTTGTATGAGTTGTGTTCTGAGGGTCAAATCTGTCTATGTCTATGTCTTCATGGTAGTCAGTGCTTGTTTAATTATTTCTTTGGAAATAACACACACCTGTGTGCCTTTTTTGGTATATTGCCTTGCTCCTGCCCTTTAATATGGGGTACTCAAATTATGTTGATGCTGTAACAAAATGTATTTTTCTGCTTGGTCTATATTTTTTTCAAATAGCTCTTAATACTCAATTTGTCGCTGCTACTGAGCACAGAGACAATACTTTCAGAGAGCTATCTACAATGATTACAAGAGCTCTTACCTCTGTAACTGCTCAGTAGAGCCCCTTATAGAGGATGTAAAGTTGGGATTAATTGCTAATCATTTAGTAATGATCAGTTCATCTGTGGGATAATGGGCAGATACTATTACACTGGGGCTCCATGAATTTCTGATGTTGTGTATCTGAGTTGTATTTGGGGGTATGTGCTCTGTCACTGACTCTCAGGTTTTTTGTGTTGGCAGCCAAAATGTAGCACATACTGCAGCTGTTTGGGTGTCATCTTGTCTCTACTTCCAGAAAGTGCTTCCAATCAGTTATTTAACGTTCCTGTGTGATAAAAAAATGTATGTTTGTTTTCAGCAGAACTCTTCAATTCAACAACGCATTTTCTTCTGCAACAAAGTTCTGGCTCAGAAGTTCCTCCCCTGCACCCAGTTTGTAGCCTACTGTGTGTTCTGTCTCTCTGTTCCTGAGTCCTACATCACTAAAAAGTGCTTGGTTTTAGCCTGGATTATTTCACTGTCTTTACATAAATGCTGCTATGCTGATGGGTGGCAAAGTGCCATGGATCAGGGGCTGGCTTCATTTGTGTAACTGCAGTATCACTGCAAGGAGAAATTCCTAAATATCTCAGAAAACTTGGAATATCCTGACTTCATGGTGGTTGTGTAGCTGGGACTTGAAACCAAAGTCTAGACTGCTGTTCTCTCCCCTGGTGTGAATTTACACTTGAGCTGCTGTTAGCTGATTGAAAGGGGAATTCTCAGCTGCTTTAGCTCGAGTTTAGGCCTTCAAATACAAATATTTGCACGCCTCTACAATTTTGCCTCAGTGGATGTCATGGGAGGGGATAGGAACAGTTTAACATGGGAAATTTCGACGGAGTTAAGATGCATCTGAAACCATAGTTCTGTGTATAAAAGTGTTCTGGCTAGTTCAGTTTCCATCTGTACAGCAAATTGGAGGAAATGTTGATCCTGACAGATCAGTGAACATCTTGCTGTTATGTATTTGGCTTCAGGAGAGTGAAGATTTCACCCTCTGTATCTCAGATGCTGTAGAAGGGTCTTCATCTCTGAGGAAACAGGAAAGGAAATGCAGATAATACAAGTATAAGAGTACCTAAATATATTATGAACATTTTACATGCTGTTTTGCACACTGTATAAAACTGTGTGACATCTTAATGAAAGAAAAAAGTGTCAAGACTTTCGAGCTCTGGGAGATCTTCTTCTTATATAACTCAGATATCCAACTTTCCCTTAATTAGCACAGCTTTGTATAAAAGGATACTGACCCAAAGGATCACAGCTATTCCTGTAATTTGATTATAACTGTAATGCCTGTGTGACACCTTTCTGTATATGTTATGTGTAATCCTGTGCGCAGCTACAGCTCTTGGAAGTTCTGTATTAAACTCAGTACTGTGGTTACTGGTGAATGAAATTATTGGAACAGTCCTGGATGAAAAAGTACATGGAAGGATTTAAGGCAGAACATGGCAAAGCAAAGGCTGCAATTATCTGCAGCTGAAAACAAGTAGCTTTTAATATGTCCATTCACCTAAGAAGGGAGGGAGAATTACAGACCACGTGCTCTTTCTCTCCCTTTTTCTATCATTTCTCTTCTTCTTTTTCCTTTATACAGTTTATCACCCATAATTTCAGGATGTGTTTTGTTTCTTTAAGCTGTTTTATCTATAGGCTTATGAGGTCAGTCATGTGTGAATTCTTTTGTTAGTCACCTCACCTTTTGCCTTGATGATAGAAAATTGATCAGGCCTAAAGTACAAGTTCAATAGACAACCCCCTTGGTCCTTTGTCTAGGAGAATAGCTACCATTGAAGGCCATGAGCAGGTTGCTATTAATATGACAGCCTGCTCTATCTCCCACTGTAATTTATAATGAAATACCTAATCTCCATTATTTTGATCCAAGCAGGCGATCCCATGAAAAAGTCTTTTCATCCAGTTCCCAATGGCAGTTACATGAGAAATGGCAAACCAATAATTTTTGTCAAGTTTTTTAAGCCAACAGAAATGCTTTTCCACTGCTACAGTTTCAAAAGGCACAGATAAAGCTCATTCACTGAGATGAATGAAAAAGCCATCTGGGGTTTTTCTTTTTGACTTCCTTTCCTTTTCTCCATCCTTGTAATCAAATTTGAGCAAAATCAAATGGGGCTTTCTATGAAAGTACCTTTTGTTGATCTGAACGAGCTGGTAATTTACAAAATACCCTTCCTTTGTGAGGAAGGCTAAAGAAAAAAAGAATCAGTAGCTTTTAAAGCTGGGCCTTGGTGGGACTCTAAATGCAGTGAAAGCAGTCTGTGTTGAGAGATTGAAATGCATTTCAAAGCCAGGCCTGAGTCAGGGTACAGGGAAGAAAAAACCTATGTGCATTTTATAAGAAGAAAAACCTGAATGGGAAGGGGAAAAGAGAGAGAGAGAGAGAGGAAAAAATCTGGATAATACATTAATCATTATTTTGGAAATTGTCTTCCTTACTGACACATACTGCGTAACTAGTGATTGAGAACTTGGATTTTTGTTCTATTATAGGCATCTCAACATTTGTCTGTGCTGCTTTAAAGTTTGAGAGGCAAGGATCCTTGAACACTGCTGGACTATGTTTTAAATGTGTATATATATTTTTTCAACTTTGCTTTTTGTGCTTCTTTTTCTTTTTTTTTTTTTTTAACCTTGCCTGTGAAGTATTATGGGGAAAAATACTTGCAGGAAAGCTGAATTTGTTCTTTTTGGCATGCTAATGTTTATTTTTATTGTATTTCTGCTTACCAGATTTCCTAAGGGTAATTATTTCCCACTGACTAAGACCAAAGGACAGTGTGAACACCTAACAAATAGTAAGTTTATGCCTTGTTTCTGTTATTTGTATTTTATGATTAATGTAGAAAAGCTGAAAATGTTTGATTAATTGCAAATTCAGTATTTTAAGAATATTATACAGCTGTATGAATCTATTAATGAGAAAAAATGATGTGGTTTCATGCTTATCATGTCTGTTACTTACTATAACTGTTTAGTGAGAGACAGATAAGTGCATTGTCCTGTGTGGAAGATAATAGAGCTTTTGAAATAAATACTAATTTACATGTCATATGCAAAGATATGAGCAAGCCTAGCCCATATTTTAATCTTTTCATATTTACAGGCTTGCTTAGAATATAAAATGTTTCTCCCTTTCCACTTCTGTTTTGATTCAGGATATAAATGCTTTTGAAAAGCAGCTTTCTGGTTGCACAATATGAAATATTACTGGCAGTTTTACAGAAATGTGGGCACTCACCTTATAAAGTAGAAACTCTGGGGTTTAGTTTTATTTTTAAGAAATCTTCTTGTGCTATTTTTACCTTGGCTTGTGCTGTGTTCTGGTAGAGAGGGATGAATGTTACTGGCTAAGATCTTGTTATTGTTGCTAATGAAGCACTAGTAAAACCACATTGGCTTTTAAATTTTTATTTGAAAGAGGAAGCTCGGAAATAATGTAGAACTATCAACTCTCAGTTATAAGTTAAGTGAAATGCGATGAGACATGATTTGTTTTGTTTTCCTTATGCATATGTGTGGACAGTGTCATGACACCCACTTAGAAACCATACTACAGGAAAACAGGCTGGGATAAGTCTTTTGCTTTTTAACATTACCAAAATTCCCAAGTTAACCTTATAAAGTTTGAGTGTGGGTTCCCTTTATGATTATTTAACAAATAGCTTGCAAGTATTTTCTTTGATGTAACCTGACATCTGATTGAAGTGGAGAATGACAAAAAGTTACTTTTGTATCTGAATTAATTTTCCACTTCTAGTTCTTACCATCCTATTCACTTTCAATTTCCTCCAGGATTTGTTTTCTCACATGGTTTTGAGCCATTTGCTGCCTCCTAATGACTGACTTACAAAACAGCAAACATGGAAAATTTCCAAAAAAACTTTTTTGGAACTGTCACTGCTGCGTATTTTGTGATGATCTACCACTTTTCATATGTTTGTCACTGATGAGAAATTTGTGAATTTTTTATGACTGCTCTGTGATATTTTTAGCAGAGCATCAAATTTTCTACCCTGAGAAATACAGTAAACAGTGCCTTAATGGGAAACTTTTCTAGCTCTGAGAATAGAAAGAAAGATACAAGTGGCTGACTTTGTTTGGATTGTGTCATTTAGATAATGTAAGAATCTGTGCTTTCATGGGCTTGCATACCAATGTCATATGGTGCTTATTTTGGTTAAATAATTTTCTCCTTCCCCTCCCCTGTTTAAAAATCATAATTAACCTTTTTTTGTTTTGTTTTCTGTTCTTCCTCCTTTATACCTTCTTAAACTTTAAGATATAGTATTCATCAATGACTTTGTCAGATCTAATGGATTTTAATGGATTATTTAGCAAATGAAACAATTACAAAGCAAGACAGCATCCCTCATGGTCTTATTCTTGTATCAGGGCTTGTCATCTCACTATGTGCTGTTCTCACTACAGTGCAGCACAAGCTCGCTCAAAAAATTTTGGGACCTAGCAAAATATAAATATTATGAATTATATGGGATATAGACAACATAGATTTTCTCTGTGTAATCCTTCCCCTCTCATGTGGGACCTTGTAAGCAGTACAAATGACTTGAATTGGGATGAGAGTGTTGAATGGAGTTCTGACCTTACCCCCTACTATTTGCGTGTATTTGGGGGCAGTCTCTAAACTTTTCCCTCGATTGAGTTGCACTCAGTGACATCACTCCCTTTGTGGTAGAATGTTTGTAAACCACTGTAAGGTTCTGAAACATGGTTTGGATCTTACAGGAGTATCTTCAGCTATGCCTGATTTCAAGCTGCTGAGTTTTATGCTCAGAACTTTCAAGCTCAAGCACGTTTTGCATTAAACTATGATGAATTAACATAATAAATTACTAGCAGTATTTTTCTAAAATAAAGGTCCTCTATCACTTCAATCACCTGTTGGGGCCTTTTTGCAAGAGACACTCATAGTAACAAAATTCTGCTACTTTTTTTGAGAATATATATAAATGTATATGTAATTTATGTGCATAATTATGTTAGTCTTTGATTGGAATCTTTGATTTACAGGAGTTTACAGTAGTGACACAATAAATCGGGGAACTGCAGTTGTCTAATAAGTTAACAGGTTTTTCCTCTGTTAGGGAACATAATCCAGTGAAGCATAAACTGAACAAGGAAATGTAGACTATGACAGGTTAGCAACACCATGGGTGAGCTGTTGGATCTCTTGAAGCTACTGTTGAATATAAATCAATAATTCTAGTGCCCAAGGTTAAGATATTTAATCAGGTGGTTTGGTTGTTTAATCAGACTGAGTTGGATTGGGATGGGAAAAGGTTTTCAATGGAATTTTCAGTGGCCTTTTATTGTCTTAAACAGCAGGAGGTGGGGACAAAGGACAATAATTTCTGAGTCTCATGTGCTCTCTAGGCTTCTGCATTTCCTGCAAGAAACACTTTTCTTTCCAGATAAATTTTTGTCGCTGAACACTGCAGGATTACTCAGCCTTAGTGAATATACATAGCAGATTATGATGGAACTGGGTTCTCATAAAGGTAGTAAGAAAATGCAGATCTAGGCAGTCTCACAACTGGAAGGAGTCCCTTAAAGGAAAGCAAAAGGTGAAAAAGGCTACAGAAATATGTCAGAATTAGAATGAGTACAGAGTGTTAAAAAAGAGATAAGTCAGTGTTGTTGAGATAAGGAAAGGGCATTAACACTTTGATTTCCCTGGGTCCAGGCCTTTTTCTCAGGGTCCTTACCATTGTTTAGATTGACTGTCCCAGGGCTGATTGCTGGATTTAGTTGAAAGTGATGTCTGTGTTCACATTACCTTAAAAATGGTAGTGATTTTTTAAAGTTGATTTTTCTCACTATGTTGTTATCATCAGTGTGGTGATCTTAAAAGAAGTGCTGATCTGAAACACTAATAAAGTGGGAGTTCCCACTTAGGCACTGATCTGCAGACCAGGATATGTCTGTAGTAGTGCTGGACAATCCAGTTTCAGTTTTTTCTGGTGCCAGTGTTTAGTGACATCAAGTTGGTGGGCTGGGAGTGCTGTAACATTACTTTGGAAAGTGAAGTAACATGCACAGTGTTCTCTCTTAGTCCATGAAGAATATTTTGTCTTCCCTGCCCAACTGGGAGAAAAAAGGTTCCAATGTTATTTTTGTAGTTTTGTTGGATGAGGAAGACATTTTTAAATTGATGATTTGTTGTTTACCTGTTATTTTGTTTATTATTTAAAGAGCATAAAATCTGTGGCACGACTGGGGCTACAAGTTGTAGTCTTTTTATTTTCCTGGTTAATAAAGCAGACCTGGGAGACATTCAGAGGTATATTTGTTACTTCAACTTCTTCAAGGACTTCAGGCATACCGACAGAAACATGAAGTTGTCCTCTTCTGACAATTTGTCCTTAGACTTAGAAAGCTGGCAGGTAAGGGCAGAACTACAGGAGAAAGATGTCTCGCAACACTCTCTGGAAAAGCTTGATCTGAAGTAGGGTTCAGAGGTAAAATTACTGTTTGCTGCAAAGCTCCTTGCTTTGACATGGCAAGACTGCTTTTTACCTGAGAGACCTCCACTGCGATCCCTTCTAACTGATTTGGGAAGTGGAAGCTGTGCATTCATTGGCAGTATGTTGATGCTGAGGGATGTCCTTTTCAGCATCAAGTGCTTATAGTCCTTAAGATGGTATTTCTGATTTTAACTGCAGGGCATCCCTTCCACCTTACTTAAAAACATTACCCCGTGTAAAACATTTTGTTGCGATCAGTCTGTAAAAGGTGGAATATTTAGAACAGCCATAGACAGCACTGTGTGCTTCACTGGATATCACTCATTCTTCCAGTGGGTATCCTGCTGACAGGGATACCTAGTGCTCCAGACAGAGCAGTCTCATTTCCTCTGCCATGATGTGCAGACAAACCAGAATGACAACTCTGCCCCTGCTGTCTTCTGAGCAGTCCAGGGTCTGCTCTCTGAAGTATTATGAACAAACATTTCCAAATGCTGAGTCCTTGTTTTGAAAGAAAGTGGTTTAAATCAATTATCTTGAGTTGAGGTATGGTTAATTTGGGGTGGGGGGGAGTTATATGCTGAAAGATCCAGCATGCTATTGCTTTATCACATCCATGTCACAAGGAAAGTCTGTGACATGACAGATTGAAATAGCTGTGCCTGGTCAAGGAGTTTTTTGTGATGTAAATGACTTGTAGGTGTTGTTTCTTAGCCCTGTGTAAGAGGAGCCAGGCTTAAGAGAGGCAGCAGAGAAAGTTCATCCAAGAGGCTGGAGCTCCAGTAGCCTCTTAGGCAAATAAACTCCATAACTGTGCCTAAGACAGTGGAGCTCCTCTGTGAAAGAGAGTGCACTTGGTGCTAAATTGCTGCCTCAATGCTCGGGATAGCTGTGGCTGGATTCTACTAATTCTGCAGTTAGTTGTGGCTAATTGTATAAAAACTATATTTGGAGCCCGAGACAAAGGGTACCTATCAAAGTAAAGGGCAAGCACAAACTCTGGTGTTGTAAAGTCCTTTCTCTGTTTCTGTGTCAGACAAGCCTCGTTAGACAAAAAACCACAACTAGATTTGAGATCATAGTATGCCACGCACATTATGTATTTTATGCACGTTATATACTTTATGTGCATTACTACCTCTTAGGTTCTTGTTTGCAATAATCTTTATGTAAGTATTCGTGGGTGGAATTGGATTGAAGTCATCAAAGTTCTAGGCTAGGAATTTATAGGGATGTTTCTTTTATTTTGAACAGAAGAATGTTATGATGTAGCAGGAATGTCTCTCTTAGATTTTTTAAATTTTGTTAGC